GAGGTAGACTCGACCAGTGTAATAGTTCGCTGACATAATCAGTGCGTGTGACTGCTTATGACTGTGGCCCGAAAAGGGTGAACAGGGTATATGTGGTAATGAAACAGTTTTGACTGCTATGCACAAGTTCCCTTCAACTCTATTGCTAGACTCTTCCAGCCTCACTTTAAGCCTACTTAATTAAATCTTGTGACTGCTTACGGAGTGGCCCGAAAGGGATGAACGGGCTATTTCTGAGGCAGTGAAACAGTTTTGAATGTTAGGTATACAGTTCAAAGGTGATTATAAACGTCTTTTTACATTTAATTTATAAGGTTTACGTCTAAGGGTGAATTTAACTGCGGCAATGTTTCAAACTTTGGAAGGGAAGCAGTGATTATTTGATTATATATACGCTTCGCCACTGAATATTTCAATAACTTTTAAAATATCTAAGATGGAATTCCCAGATAAGGAGGTAGAGGATTATCAAACTATTCAATTGAAAAAAGACAACTGATAACAAATAGTAACGCGACGGAGTGCTCGACTTTGGGGCAGAAACTAGGTTACGGGCCTCCTCTTTCTTCGAGAATTTATAACAAAGTATACCATCGTATTGTATCTTACAACGATGGATGTTAAGTCGTTTTATCCCTTACGCTTGCCATCACACTCCCTCCCCTACCAAAAACGCCAAAAAGCAAAAGAAAACAACAAAAAACAATTTAAAAAACCCACATAAAAAACAAGCAAGGAAATTAGATACACTGTGTCGACGACATGTTACAAAATCGTCGGCTCCAAATGAAAATAGAGCAAAACTATGGGCTACTTTTGGTGCGAGAACTTGTATTAACATTTGAGCCTGGGTTGTTGTTTTTTTCTTTTTTTCTGGGGGTTTTTTGTTTAAAGATAGTAAGCGAATGTCTATCGTAATCTTCAAGTGCATAATCTTGTTTTCATAATCACAACAAATCGCACACAGATACTGAGGGTTTTGTGTTTTTTTGTTGTTGTTTTTTTTAGTTTTCTGATCTATGTAATATAAGTCATACTTTAGACAGAGAGAGTGGGAAAAGACACACACACACACACACACACACACAGAGAG